AGAGACGCGCGATTACACTGCTGTGAAGGTCTCACAGTTCTCCTGGACTCGGTTGGCTGGTGCCGATCCGTTCCTCGGTGTCGGTGAGTAGCTACCAGCTACATGTTATTGTCGTGGATAGTTTGTAACGAGCCTCTCCAGAAATGGCTAGTACCGGCGAGGTGGCCTCCTTCGGCAAGGATATTCAGGAAGCCTATTGGGCGTCGCTCCTCAGCACGACTGGTTTCAAGGTCCCGCGCGCGAACACCGGTGTACTCATTGGTGGCAACACCAACACGCCAGAGATGGCCACGGTCGCCAAGAAACTGATCAACCTCGGCTTCAAGCTCTACTGCTCGTCCCCCGTCGTCGAGGACTTCTTCAACTCGCTCCCGTATGTAAAAGCGAAGCGGATATTCTTCCCGACGAAGGACAAGCGGAAGCTGCGTGAGGTGTTCGACGAGTACGACATTGAGTGCGTTATAAACCTCGCGAAGTCCCGAGGTAAGGATGCCACGGATGAGGATTACGTTGCTAGGCGGTGAGTACAGACATTACCATCGTCTGCATACTTCATTTTGACTCTCTTGCTTTACAGGAATGCTGTTGATTTCGGGTTGCCTCTACTTAACAACCCGCGGTGCGCTCAGTTGTTTGTCGAGGCACTTGAAAAGAAGATACCCGAAGGCGGGTTGAAGAATTATACCGAAGGCCGGATTCCATCCGAGGTCCGGAGCTGGCACGAGTTCGTCGGAAAACGAGCATGATCTTACGAACGGATAGCAACACTAGACAGTTCTTGAAAAAAAGCACGATAGACCATCCACATAGTATCAAAAAGTACCGTCTTGTACTGCTGTATATCTAATGATCCCCGTCTTGTACTGTACATGCTGCACTCTGCAAATCCATTCGTCTGCTATTGCATGAGTCGCGTTCGCCTCCGAGCTCAGTCGGCGCCGACCAAGTCACCCAAGTCCAGCTCGCTCACTTCCTTCCCTGGTCTGCTCAGGGGAATGTCGTTCTTCGCTCGGTCGAAGGCGAACTTCTTCACTAGCTCAGCGTCCATTTTGCCTTCTATTGCATCTGCTACCAGGCTGCCGATATTAGGGAGGAACTGAACGCACGACAGATTAGACACCACCCTGGGAGAAATATTGACAGCAGCAGTAAGGTACCTACCTTGAGCGCATGTCCACTGCCGGCGGTAGCAAGCATGACACCGGGCTCGCGCGGGTGGAAACCGATGATCCAGTCCTCGTCCACGGAATCTGTGTACCAGCACATCCGCGTCCCCGCCCACGGCTTGTCCGCGAGGTCCGGGTAGGTTCTCGCCAGGCACTCTCGGATTTCTTGTAGAGCGGCCCTGGGAACGGCCGTCTCAAACTGTCCTTCCCCATGGCTCTTCTCGCCTGACTGCGAAGACAGTGCGGGAAAGACAGGTGTAGAAGCGGATGTGGAGGTGGGTCGGTGGGTGAAGCCCGCGGCGTGGATGGCACATTTGATGACGTTTTGATCGTTTGGCTATCTCAAAGGACGGGTCAGCTCGATGGAAAATGGACATCATCCCGGACAGGCACGTACAGGGAACATGTAGTACCCACTGTCGAGGTCGAGGTAAGCTGGGTCCGCATGGTGAAATTCCGCTTCTTCTGGCGTGAGTTGTATCTTGCCGACTATTTGTCTTCAGTCTCTGAATCAGTCGTTCATTCCAGACGTAACAGCTCCTTTATACATACGCAGTGGCCACGCATTTGTCTTCTAGGTTCAGTTCCGGGAAAGCAGACGCAGTCCACGCGCCTGCAGCGAGCACGACGCAGTCCCCCTTATATTCGCTGCCGTCCGTGCATTCGACACCGATCGTCCTTCCCGTCTGATCTTTGATCAATGACGCTACTGTTTTGCCTGGGACGATGTTCCCTCCCAAGTTCTTGACCTTGTCCATCATCATTTCAATCGCACGCGAGGAGTGCACCCATCCGCCGTCCTGGTTGATGTAGCCAAACCTGTCTTTGAGTAGGTTCCTCAAGGCCGCCGGCAGCCCAGGCGAAGATGGATCTGATGGCACTACGTTGGTGGAACCTGCTTGTAGTATGACAGTGCGGGCGCCGAGGGCATTGTCGTTCGCGAGAGCAAGGTCCCCGTAGGATCCCTTGCCAGACAGGAGTACGAGGACTCCTGACTCGCGGTAGCACTCGCCCCATTCAGAGCGATCTTTCCACTGCGCAAGAGCAGCACGAGCAAACTTGGAGTAGAATTCGTCGGCATACGAACTCCGTACGACTGATGCGCATTGCGTCGAAGTCAGATCTCGCGAGTGGGTCCGCGGTTTAATATGGACGAGACGCACTCTTGTTAATGTCTGTGCTCGCTGCTTCGGGTGCGGGGAGCACCGGCGAGCGATCGAGGATTGTGATGCTGGTGGCCCCTCGCTTCAGGAGGTGGTACGCTGTCGATAAACCAAAGCACCCTGCGCCCACGATAATCACCATTGCGACTCGGGGCACGATGACGTCCACAAGAAAGACGAGATATTCGGTTCCTGTACGCTATCTGGATCATCGAGTCATTCGTGAGCTTAATCCTTTGGCCAAGTTCTTTGACTCGGACGTACTTCAGCAGGATATTGTTATAGCAGCCTTGACCGCGGCCGGTCGGCGACTACTTATCCTTATCTAACTCAGACATCCTACGGATATTCCACTTGTAAAAACATGCGTCCTGTTGACATGAGAGTTGTCGGTAGCGATTGAACTGTAGAACTCTGTAGAGATGAACGGTCTGGTCACAGATGGGAGTTACGGGACGTCCGAGTGCGGCGTGCGCCTCTGCAAATATTTAAGCTTTAAGGACTGCCAAGAGGGACACTTTTCCGAAAATTTCGGGGTCGGATAAATGAGCTCAAGCGCTACTACTCATCGAAGCAGTCAGAGCAAGAACGTCGACTAGTACTATGTATAATGTTGCAGCGGACAGCGGTGCGCAAATTAAATGACGCTGAGTAGAGTTTGACCGGGACCGGTAAGTTACTAGATAAATAAAAGACGCTCGCCGGCTTTTATGGTATGCAACGGAGACTATAGATAAATAACCAGCCCTTCAACCGCGCGCCTCTGCGACCACGACACCGTCGTAGACCAAAGCGTGCGTGTTTCGACCACCTCTATGGTTAGTACCTCCTATTTCCATATGTGCATGCGGATGATACTTGACCGGTGGCGACCTAATGTCCATAGACCTTGCTTAGGGCCTAGTCCATGCGACCGCGGTCATGAGTCAAGTTCAAGATGACGGTCGCCTATGTCTTGGGCGTTCTGAGTGGTCAGTCCTAGTAAGTAGCGTGTGCCTGCGTTCACTGCCCTCGTTTATTGTATCAACATATTGTACAGCGATCGACAAGATTCATCATACGATTCTGATTCAGAGATGAGGTGGATAGGTGACGTGGTAGCTCCTATTTCGTCATTCCACCTCGGCGTACCTCACGATCCATCGTACAAGTCCCTGTACGTGTGTGCAAGGTAAGCTCCGATTTGTTTGTCCCCGAGAAAAAGCAAAGCTGAAACAAACCCCCAGAACAACAGGACGATGCTATGATACACTGTACACGATCAAACAAGCGATCTAGATATGAGGCAAGACCAGACGAAATACTTTTAGTAGTAATCATGGCGAGCACGCTTAGGTGGCGACGGGACGACGGGGCTATGCGCCCTCCTCGAAGGTCACGCCAGTCAGCAAGTAGACAGGTATATTTTTCGGCGAAAGGATAGTACGGTTCAGACTCGGGAGTGCCTGTGACTCTGCCTGTGACGCTATCGTAGCTCACGAAAGGCCTGGGGATGTACGCAGCCTGCATTGGCTGAGGGTCGGCCGGCCGAGACATGCTGCTACAATCGATGGTGAGCAATGTGATCAGGGAGTCATGCGTCTTCGCAGTACTCACCCGTTCTCCTCATTTTCAGACGCCCACTCTTCCTCTGGTCGTGCGCGCGGAAGGGGCCTGCATCATCATCTTTGACTTCTCCCTCATCGTCCCGCCGTCGCTTCCTGCCCAGGTGAGAGATCGAAGAACCGATCTCTTCGTAGGTACGCTGATACGGCCATGGCTCGACGATACCACGCATTGGAGGCCTCGCGCACAAGCCCGCAAGGCCTGCCTGGGGGACTTCTGCCTGTCTGGGCAGTCCTATCTGCACACCGCGCACAGCCCTGTCGATGTCCCCCGTAGGGTGCAGAAATTTTGGGCGAGTGGCGTTTTCTAACGATTCGGAGGATGACTCCTCGAAGCCGTCCCCAACGCTCGCGTGTTTTTTTTCCAGCCTAGATGTGTTTCAGCCACATGGAACATAAGGTACAAGACGGGGGAACTTACAGTTGACTGCCGCCGGGATACTTCGCCACCAACGTGGCAATCATGTCGTCTTTCTTTCCATTCGCGCAAAGACCTTCGCGCTGAACGCCACAACAGTCAGCAACAGGACAGGGACATGGCAGAATGCGGGGAGAGATGCGTACCTCAGCAAGTTTCTCGATGTCAGGGCGCTTGATTGTGCGGAGGGCGGTAATGGGAGGTGAGGAGTGCGTGGGGACTCAACTCAAGATAGGGACCGGATAGGTCGCAGGGATAGGAGCAAAATGTGTAGTAGCGGCTCGAGCTGAAAGGAATTGAGGACGTGATGCGTGCTTTGATCAATTTGAGAACAATGGGCCAACGTCAAGGAGGTGGTTTGAGCCACACTCGGCTAGCCGGCCTGGACCGCCGGCGAGTGGCGAAGAAGTGTCCGAGCGATGTCCGGACGTTTATGGCAATCGAATACAAGGGTATTGCCCTTGTAGTCAGATTGACCTGTTAGTCGAGTGATAAGGCCTTAAGGACCCGTGTCTTAGATGCTCAGATGATGTCTACGACTGCCCACCTGCCCACTATTCTCCACTGTGCTATGGATTGAAGGATGGAGGTGCAGTGTCTTTATACCTATTTTTACGGATGTGTATTAGTTTTGTATATGCATTTACATGGCAAGATGGCCGAGCGGTCCAAGGCGTGTGACTCAAGCGTAAGCTTGCCTGCTTTGCGGGTCTTCTCATCTGGGTATCCAGGCGCGAGTTCGAATCTCGCTCTTGTCATGTTTTTGCCATTCTGTTACACTCTTTTCGCCTATCATAGCGTAGCTTTTCGCAAAATTCGTAGTCTCCGTTACAGCCCTTATACAATCATTCCTTATTGACCAAATCCTCATACGTTCTGTCGACGGTCAAGTGCTGTTGATTCCGCCTTTCATCTGTTATCTGCCCTTCTAATCACCAATTATCCATGGTAATCGCACTGGCATCCCAGCGCCTGATCGCCACCGGCCCACCGCCACCACGCGGCTCGAAGATCATCGCCGCCGTTGCCGCTCATCCTCTCAACCTTGCCAACCTGAGGCCTACGCATTGTATTCGATATTCCTCGAAGGCCTTGTGCAACGCTTGACAAATGCCGCAGACGTCTGTGGTGCGATTGATATTGCTGAAGGCAGTAGGATCATCAACTTATGGGCGACGCTGAGCGTCGTCATCGGATGCCCACCCATTATTTACTACCAAGTACAGCACGTATATGGGGCAAGGTCTACAACCCAGATTGCTTGCGTCACAGCGACTAACAATTACTAGGGTCAAAGAGTCTCGGCTAGGCGCGTATTCTATTGATCCGCGGCCCTTGTTGTCATTGTTCTCCTTTCGTGGCGAACCGTGGTCAAAGTGGCCGCGGAGTGGCGACGTCTATGTAATACGGACCAAGCGATTGTATTTGCCACTGTATCTTCTTTTGCCACACGTCCGCTCACCTATTCAACCTTCTCCTGTCTCCTCCTACCACCAACATCATGGATGCTAATGTACTCCGAACTCTCCAACCCGTCGACCTTCAACAGTTGGCCAGGGTAAGTTCATCGTGCCTTCTGCGACGTTCCTGACATCTCGCACCGTTCCAGAAATACAACATTGCGGACAACTTGACAAATGAGACGACCATTGATTTGTTGCTCGAGGCCTTCTCCAGGGGTGTCGGGTGAGTGCCACAAAGAAATAGCGTCACGAAACGCTTTAACAGTGCCGTCAATACAGGGAAGGCGACAATGCGAATATATCGAAGACAAGGGATGCCAATACCTGCGCGCCTTTAGCTTCACAGGGCCCCCGCGGAGGGGCAGTGGGTAATACCTCGTCGGCATTCGAAGATCCGAATTCCTCTATGGTCGTAGAGCGCAGCAGCCCCGAGCCCGGACAAGGATTACTTTCCAGCGGTGGCGAGCCACTCTACGGTTCACCGGCTGACGGTGACCGAGGACACGGCGATCAGGCGAACGGTCCGCCAACGAATGGTCTAACAACGAACGGCGATCCTGCAGCTGCAACGCGTCCCGGAGGTGAGTGGCACGGTTCAAGTTCGCGTGTGGCGACGGCTCAGACGCGCACACAACCAGGCGCAGGCAGAATGGCCGATCGGGAACGAGGTCGTCAATTAGCCAGATATCGCAGGAAGGCTGAACGTGAAGAAGAAGCCCGGAGGGACGCCGCTCGACGCACTCGCCGGCTAGTTCACCAGGCACGGCACGACCGCGCTTCCAGCCCTGTAGTGCACGAGCTAGACGACGCTAGCCGCATCAATACGGTCCGCCTCTTTCGGAGGGTGCACAACACGATAGAGCACGAGTACTACGCGCTCGATGACCTGCAGGAGAGAGCGCAGGCGGCCCTCCAAAAGTCGCTCTCTTACACCAAGTCGGCGATGATGGCCCGGGCGAGCACGTACCGCTTCGGAGGCTGGCTCTCGTACTACCAGCCGGGACCTGCGAAATGGCCGACCAAGGAAATTTGGGGGGAGGACCCGAGGGCGCGGACATTCCGGCAGCAGGCGGATGGCATGTTGCACGAGGAAGATGAGCAGACGGGCACCCTACCATTTTATTCCAGGAAGCGTGGGCCGTACGCGAATTCTCTACCGTGTTAATTCGTGCACTGACGACGCCTCCTCGATAGCGATGACGTGCCGACAGAGCTGCCTCATGCCCGTGACACTCCTCCCCTGTTCGTAGTCGCTTCTTTCATGGGTCTGACAATGTACTGAACTGAGCGATACAGTGAAAAGAAGCTCAAGCGATTGGGTGTCCTTGTCACGCAAGAGAGGGCCGAGAAATTATTCCGGGACATACGCTGTCTGGCGCCCCCAACGAAGAAGCGCAAGATCACGCGCGAGGAGGAGAAAGGCAAAGCAGTCGACGACGGCCAAGTGAACGCGGTCGACAAGGGGAAGGGGAAAGCTGTCGACAAAGGGAAGGGGAAGGTAGTCGATAAAGAGAAGGGGAAAGCTGTCGAAAGCGCTCCTCCAGCAGTCGACGACGCTGAGACCCATGCCCCAGGTCAGGCCAGCGGTACGGACAAGAACAAGAAGCGTAAAGGAAACGGCAGGAAGAAGCAGGCAATCGACGACCAGAACGTGACCGTCGACCCGAACTTGATTGTCGACCCGAACGCGATGCTCGACCCAAGCGCACCTCCACGCTCCATCGCGCAGAGCAAGAATCTCCGCGTCCGTCACAACGATATACCGCAAACGCTGAGTCACATCATGAAGTGGAACCTGGCGCGAATGATTCATGGCGAACCCCCGTACGCGTGGTCGAAATTCCAAACCGACAAAAACGGCCATTTCTACTCAGAGGCTATCGGCTTCTTGACTTACGGCGGACACATAGTTCCCGGTCCCGTTCCCGGCGGGCATGGCCTCGTCTTCAGTGACAACGTCGTCGAGCCTGGAAGGAATGATCCTGTTTCTTCAAGTGGCGCCGGTCTCAGCACGTCTGCTTCCGGAGTAGACCAACGCAACCCGGATATCGGATCGGCTGCTCGTTCTCGAGATCTCCCTGTGGTCTCTAGCAACATAGTCTTTGACCGCTCTGGCGGTACGACCCCGGGCGCGAAACAACCCTCGGCCTCGGCCTCAGTTGACCATGCAGCACCTGGCGTCCCTCCCGATCAGTCCGCGCCGGATGCCAGTCTATCTCAGGATGGTCGTTCTCAATCCAAACGATCAAGTAATGACGACGATGGCGAGGAGGAGGAGGAGGATGTCCTGGAACTTCCTCCCTTGGGCGGATACGCATATGGGCCCGCGGATCCGTGGCATAAATGGCTCATGAACTGTCTCCTGCAGCAAATGGCTCTGTATGCACAACGTCCAATCAGGCCAGTAGCGAACGTGCACCCTGGTCCTAGTACGAACTCAACTATTGCGGCACAACAACCTCGCGCTGTCGAGCACCAAAGGACTACATTGCTCATGCGTAATGATCATCCCCCTCACCCAGCGAACCTTCCGCATACCGCGCACACCGCACGTCCAAGAGAAGATGTCGGTCTCGTAGCTCAGCTTCCGCTGTCGCCCACTCCCAGTAGCAGCCGCTTCAATGGTACGGCTCTCTTGGGCTCCTCCGAGATGAATGCGACCCTGCAGCCAAGCGGGTCAGCGCCGCTTCGATCGAATGCGGGCGCGAGGCTAGCTAGCCCAGTGGAGAGTCCGCGAGGGTCTGTACCACGTCTCAAGCCGGTGGCAAGAACAAGTGCGAATGTATCTGGCAGTGCGGTTGCTCTCAGAGGTGACGCAGAACAGGTACCCCCCGCCGTTCTTGGGGCTACTCCAGAACAGCATGACGACGCGATGGATGTTGACGTTGACGAAACTACGGACAGCGACGAACCTATCTCCGGCGTCGCGGCCCGGATCATCAATGTCAAGGGATCGTACGACTTGAACGGCGCCGCCGAAGCGAGGAGGTATCTTGACGCTACCAGACGTGCTTCAGCACGCGACAACACCAACTCGCCCGTAACGCCGCGTACTCGCACGCTCGCAACCCCGGAGAACCCTTTGGTTCTGCCTGTTCTGTCGTCTCCTCTCCCGCCTTCCGATTCCATACCCGAAGACACGAACTCTGTACCCGAGGGCTCTGGTAACAGACTCTCCGCTGTACCGTCGGTGCTTGACACTTCGGCTCGGCAGAACCTCGAGAGGGAGATCTTCGGGACTCCTGAGCCGGGCGGCGCGGAGAGCACCGTTCACACTGAGACCACGAGAGCAGAGAGCATCAAGGTGAATCCGGTGTTCCCACCGATCCCGGAGGTTGACGAAGACGAAGACATGACCGCAGAGAAGAGTATCGAGAGCATGCTTGTCCCACAGTCCAGCCCTGGAGCCGATAGGCTTGCCAACGTCGTTGAACACTCTGACGACGATAGGCCAACGGTGGTCTCGCCGGCGCCGCCGGCAACTCCTCCAAGGAGGGTCACTCGGTCTCGTAGCCAGTTGCCTTCTAGTCCCCCTCCGAGGCGGATGATTGTCAAGCGAGCGACGCCCAGTTCTCGTCGGGGAAAGGCAGCGTAATAGATTGGTTCCTGTTTGGTGTTGTGATTCATTGCTCTGTATGTTACGGTGGTTTAATCCAGCTTTGTTGCGCGTTGCGTTCGTGTCCTGCATCTTAGCCTGTACATAATAAGTCCTTAGCCCTCTCAATCTGTATCTCTTGTCGGACGCCCGTTGTTTGATCATTCATAAATGACATCAGCGACATTCGAAACGACAGCAGTATCAGCGCAACGTCGGGCTGGTGCTCCTGAGCTTGTACCTCGTAGCCACACCGATTCGTCGAAGTACCATGACAATCTCTCGGATGTATGGTATAAGGACAGCAGAGTATCATGTCCACGATCAGCGTCGTCCTCTGAACATCATGGATGTGCGAGCATGAGGCAATGCTTGGGCTCGTGTGGATCATAACGCAGGACGGACGCGCACAGCCCATGCCCGAGTTTATGTGATCTGAGGCGTGATCGTCCCTGTCATGCAGTGGGTTTACTGAGAACCGACCTCGATTGATATTCGCAGGTCGAACAGATGGTATGGACAAGCCGAAGCGTACAATGATGTGACGTTCTAGCAGCGCATGAAGAGGTGCAGCCCTCAGCATCAGGCTATGTATCGGCACGCCCGTGACACAGCATCCGCATCCACGGACTGCAGAAACGTCTCAAACACGACTTACAACGCGTCTCGTAGATCTGCACGTACACAGATCAAACCTGAA